AAAAAAAAAAAAAAAAAAAAGGAACTAGAAGATTCTGTTCCTACCAAGAAGGTATTAAAATATATTATGAATCCTCAAGAATTAAAAGAATGAGAAACTGATATATGAACAGACCAAACAAAAAACAAAGTCACCTTTTTAGTTAGGTTTATTCCTAGGTATCTTATTGTTTTGGGTGCAATTACAAATGGGATAGATTCCTTGATTTCTTTCTCTGCTACATTTCTGTGTATAGAAATGCAACAGATTTCTGCATGTTCATTTTATACCCTGTGACTTTGCTAAGTTTATATATTAGTTCCGGCAATTTTTTTCTTTGGTGGAGACTTTTGGGTTTTCTACATAGAGTATCATGTCATAGTAAAAGTTTGACTTCTTCCTTGCTGATTTGTATGCCCTTTATTTCTTTTTGTTTTCTGATTGCCGAGGCTGCCTTCCAGTGCTATGTTAAATAGTAATGGTGAGAATGAACATCTTTATCTTGTTCCTGACCATAAGGGAAAGGTTCTCAGTTTTTCCCCATTGAGGATGATATTAGCTGTGAGTCTTTTCTATATGACCTTTATGATGTTGAGGTATGTTCCATCTATACCTACTTTGTTGAGGGTTTTTATCAAGAACGGATGCTATATTTTGTCAAATGTTTTTTCTGCATCTATTGAGAGGATCATATAGTTCTTATCCTTTCTTTTATTATGTGGTATATCACGTTGATTGATTTGTGAATATTGAACCAGACCTGCAGCCCAGGAATAAATCCTACTTGATCATGGTGAATAATTATTTTAATGTACTGTTGAATTTAATTTGCTAGTATCTTGTTGAGAATATTTGCATCCACATTCACCAGGGATGTTGGCCTGTAATTCTCCTTTTTAGTGAGGTCTTCATCTGGTTTTGGGATCAAGGTAATTCTGGCTTTGTAGAATGAGTTTGGAAGCTTCCCTTACATTTCTATTTTTTGGAAAAATTTGAGAAGAATAGATATTAATTCTTCTTTGAATGTCTGGTAGAATTCC